TTTCATTCTTTGGCGGAAACAAGCTTCCATACTGTTCTGTATGTTAGTCCTGTCTTTAAGCAAACACACACACACAAAAAATATTTTAGTCCCAATTAGTCCCAAAATGTTTAATTTTAACAAAGGAAAACCTGCTCAGATGTTGTTTGAAGCCCAGTGTGTATTCCATCATGGATATTTGTTATGGCTCTACGCCCAGGTTTTCCTTCTCCACCTCGTAGGAACAGCAGGAGGAATCCCTTTTAAATCCTCATTAAGCTGTTTCCCTATTACTGATTGAGAATTCATTTGCTTCATCTTCAATTTACTTGATCGCGGTTGACTGCTCACCTGACTCGATATTCCACGCTGATCTCTGTGGTGAAGATGGTGGTGGGACGTGCAATGCAGGGTAATTACTATAGGTTAAGAGCAAGGAGACTCGTTTATTTTAAAGGATGTTTTCACAAGGAACTTTGTGGATGTACCCAATATAAATTCATATCAAACTCCATCATCTTCCATAATTATTAATCTTATCTATTGTTACCGGTGACCCATGTTGATTAAAACCGGTCTGGCATCACAAATCCATTTGTTTGGCCAACAATCCTGGCTTCTTCACAGCTAAAAAAATGCAGGTAGTTTGACTGTCTGCAAAGCTCCCTCTAAAATGTAGCTATTACAGGCAGAATGGCAAACACACTCTGGAAACCAAGGCAACATGCTTTCATAGCCCTGTCAAACCAATCAAATGCCACGCACAGCGAGTAGAAAATGCCAAGAGAAGTGGTGATGATTTGAGGGCTCCCGGTGTGATCATTCAGCGTAGACGTGGCTTCGACAGATTCACAGTTGTGTTGTACTGTGTGCTTGCCAAACCTGTGTTATCTGGGCAAAAAGAAGCGAGAGGCGGCATTGATCAGAATCGATATGAGAACAGACGTCATCTGAGTTAGGCTTTTGCCATTTGGTTTTAGTCGGACTTTCCTTTCAGCTTTAATCTCAAGGAGTTCCCTCTTCATGATCCGGATTTGTTCAATAATCTGCATGTTTTTATTAGGGGTGAGAAGATGCTTCTAAACAGTTTAATTTGTCTTGTACAGGTGTTTTCAAACTTTTTGAAAAGGACGCTCAAGTATGATCACGAAAAAGCATGAATATTTCTGTATAAAGAATCATTTATACTGCGTTAGAAAAGTACATATGTATTTGTTTTATGTTGACAACTTATAAACCTGAATACAAACATTTCAAATTCAGTACAGCAGCTTCCAAAGCAGTTTTACACAGAAGAAATAGGAAAGAATAGAAAAATGCAATGATAAATACAATTCAAATATATAAAAAATGCTCTGTAAAAAAAAATATCTGTATAAAAGTTTCCTGGTTGCCTTCAATTTTTGAGTTCATTGAAATTAACAATTTTAGTTAATACAACAGAGATTGGTTTAATAGAAACTCAAAATATTATATTATTTCAACCACGTTAATTAAGTTGATTTGACAAAAGATAAGTTAAAGATAAAGAATCATAAAAATATTTTTTGTTTTATTTATTTATTCATGTTTTACAGTGCTTTTTTAAATACACTACCACTACTGCTTGGAGTAAAACATTTTAAAATTAGTATGAATTTTTAAAGACAGTAAAGACATTTATAATGGTACAAAATATTTCTGTTACAAATAAATGCTGTCAATCGTTCAAAGATTCCCGAACGGTTTCCACAAAAATATGAAGCAACACTTCATATTAATATTAAAGGAGTAGTTCACTTTTAAAAAAACTTTTGCTGATAATTTACTCACCCCCATGTCATCCAAGATGTCCACATCATTCTTTCTTCAGTCGAAAAGAAATTAAGGTTTTTGATGAAAACATTCTAGGATTTTTCTCCATATAATGGACTTCATTGGGAACCAAACGGTTCAAAGTCCAAATGAGAGTTTCAGTGCAGCTTCAAAGGGCTTTAAACGACACCAGACGATGAATAAGGGTCTTATCTACGAACCTTCGAGTAATGACTCGAAAAAAGATTCGTTCATTTTGATGAACGAGTTCGAACAGGAGAGTCACGAACACGCATCACAAAACAGAGCAAGGCGAGCATTTGAGCTTATAAAACTTAAACTCTTTTATTTATTTTTTAAATGACCGATCGTTTCGCTTGATAAGACCCTTATTCATCATCTGGTGTCGTTTAAAGCCCTTTGAAGCTGCACTGAAACTGTCTTTTGGACCTTGAACCATTTGGTTCCCATTGAAGTCCATTATATGGAGAAAATCCTGGAATGTTTTCAACTGAAGAAAGAAAGACGTGGACATCTTGGATGACATGGGGGTAAGTAAATTATCAGCAAAAGTTTTTTTTTAAAAGTGAACTACTCCTTTAAAATATAGCTGCGAGCAGCGATGACGGGCCCAAGCTGTTGGCACCGCAACCCCGGTTCTTTTAGTGCCACCGGCTTTGGCCCTTTCATCGCTGCTCGCAGCTATATATATATATATATATATATATATATACCCATGTGCAAAGTTTCAAGAGTTTTCGAGCATGTTAAAGGCCCCAAAATTGCCTGAATAGTCAATAGAATATTTTTAAAAAGAATGTATCCTAAGGAAAACAATAGGGCCTTCGCCCTACAGGGCTTGGGCCCTAAATATATTCAAATAGAAAACAGTCATTTTAAATCGTAATAATATTTCAGAATATTGCTGTTTTTACTGTTTTTTTGATCAAATAAATGCAGCCTTGCTGAGCATAAGTCTTCTTTAAAAATTACATTACACATTCTTACCGATCTCAAAACTAGTGTCTACTTAATTTCCGTGTGAAAGTGTTAGCTTTGACAGGCTTAAAAATATAATTTTATTATGAAATTTTCAACCCTGCTTATCTTCATCAGGAAACAAGATGTCATCTTCACCTTCATGCCATATAAAAATGCCCCATCTTCTTTTCATTGGCACTCAGAGGTTTATAACACTCTTGGCACTCGACTGTGTCATATCATTCCAGCCTTGTCAGCGTTGAAAAAGCACCGCGCGAGAGCTTAGCACTGCACTATTACGAGGGACTCGGAGACGCGTGTACGTCGAAGCTGCCTCAAGAGATCCCGCTCTTGCGTTTGCTGGTTATTCCCACCTAATGTTTGTTTGTTTCTTTAACACGTCTTCGGAGGCAGACCGGAGGAGCAGGAGATAAGGGAGAACTGCAGATCTCACCAGGCTCATGCAAGGTTTGCTTTAATTAGTGTGTGTCTCTGGCTGTATGCAGACACGGAGGGTCCCTGGTGTGTGCGACAGCGGAGATGGGAGGGATTGTTTTTTGTACGGCCACGGTTCACTGTTTCACAAGCATCGACGCTTCTCCTTCATCCCGCGTGTCCGCCCTCTACTTTCGCTCAGTGCCGCTAATGAGAGCGGATTATGTGGATGTGAGATGAAAGGGTTGTCATTTCTCTGCTGATGAGAGAACTTGTGTGTGTGTGTGTTGAAGGTTTAATAGGTGATCCCACTGCACCAAAACCGTTTTATGTTTATAGGAGCAAAGGGAAAGCTGATAGCTTCAACCTATTTGCAGGTGACACCATTAAACATGCCCTCACCCCCTGATTTGGGCTCAGGAATAGGACATTTTGTATGGATGTGATGCACAAGGTCTTTTTTATGGGATCTTCAGTACGGTAAATCATCCCTGTGGCCTTTTTTTTGCGGATGGGAAATCTGTTTCTTTGAAGTGAAGAAGCAAGGCAACGCTGTCGGCAGATGCGCGTCTGTCTGAGCGCCAGCCTCTAGCTCTATGGGATTTTATTTCGTGTTTTAAATAGCATTCAGAATAAATTTTCACAGTTTTCCTTAAGCAGCCCAGAAGAGATGAGACCTGTTTCCCTGAAAGTGAAGAAAGAGACTTTTAGAGCCTCATTAAAGACTTTCATGAATGTTACAAACCACTTTTGGAGAGGAGGTAGAAAGGAAACATCATTCTAGTGCATGTATTTTTATGATGTTTTCCAATAGAAAGATCTAAACCTCCTTAAAGGGATAGTTCACTTTGAAATAAATTTTTGGTATGTTTTTAGCTCACCTCAAGGGCATCCAAGATGTAGGTGTCTTTGTTTCTGCTGTAGTTTCAATTTTGATATTTTTTAGTCAAACCGTGTCTGTCAGTCGTATAATGGAGGTCTATGGTCACCACCTCAAAGAGCATGCACAGAGAAGTCCAAATTAAACATGATTTAATGACTCGTAAATGTAAGTACACATTGATGGCCAAAGCATTTTTGTGAGAAAACGAACAGTATTTTATTGTTTTTACTTCTTGTAACCACAGCCACAAAGCACTCACGCCCTCAGATCGGTTGCAAGAGGTCAAAACGATATAAAAACTGTTCGTTTTCTCACACAAACCGCTCGTTTCGTGTCTTAGGCCATCAATGTGTATTTACATTTACGAGTCATTAAATCATGTTTAATTTGGACTTCTCTGTGCATGCTCTTTGAGGTGGTGACCATAGACCTCCATTACAGACAAGAACGGTTTGACCGAAATATATCAAAATTGAAACTACTGCGGAAACAAAGACACCTACATCTTAGATGCCCTTGAGCTAAAACATAGCAAAAATTAATTTCAAAGTGAACTATCCCTTTAAATCGAGGTAAAATGAGAAGCAAAATTAAATAATGCATTAACTTTTTTTCAGGGAACATATGTGATTGAATTATTTGTTGTACCACATTGGCAAATAATTAATCACTTTTTGTAAGCTTAAAGCTAACCAAATTGAGTGATGTTCAAGAAGTTAAAAACATTTTGCCTACGGTATGAAAAAAATGCAAGACGCAATCTATGAAAACAAGACTTGCTTCCCAAATAATGCTATGTTGCTTAAAGGTTGCTCTGTTATTGTTACTAAAAAAACTAAAATAATTCAGAAAATGTTACGTATAAATGGGGGAGTATTTGCTTTAATGGCTCATTAAAAAGAACTTTATTGAATTCTGTGTTTTGCAGATGTTTTTCTTCTACGCTGATGGCTCCTTATGTGGGCTTTTAACCTTGAGCTGTCCTCAGGGGGCTTTACTTCCTGTGCTATTTGTACAAATCTCATTCGGGACAGACTTTAAGATGGCATCTCAGTCCAGGCTTGAGGGTCACACCCTGTGATTCCTTCCCTGTGAAGTTTATTGCCATGCTTAGATCTCCACCTTCTCCCTTCGGAAGAGGAAACTGCAAGCTCTAGTTCCCTGATGATGTGAGTGACTCTCAGATGCTTGATAAAGACGCCAGAGCCAGATGCATTTTGCTAAGATTTGTCAACATGATTGACGGTTCAGTGCAGGCACTGCAAAAAATAATATTCTTAAAATGTGCTGGTGCTACAAGACCAAATTTGATATTTTCTGAAAACAAGCTTGGCGAATTTCTTTCTGATTTTAAAGATTTACCAGAAAACAAAATACTTGAATATGGTACTAAGGCCCTGTTTACACGAGAACGATTTCGGGTGAAAACGTAAAAATATTTTTTCGGATATGCCTTTCGTTTACACGGCGATGGCGTTTTGGGGGCTTGAAAACGCATAAAAGTGAAACCACCCTCCATAGTGGAAATCTTAAAAACGCTGTAATACGTCTACATTCACATTCAATGAGCATACTTTTTAGTGGTTGTGAAGTAGAAGTTGAGAGTATTCAAGACTGTATGTAATATCGGAGTCTTTGAAAGCACACGTGGTATCACTTTGATCATGAAAAAACAGTTAAGTACTTTGTACATGTGCATCACCAATATGCCATGTACATAACATTATAATGATAATGAGAGCACTATTGTAATAGAAAGTTGCCCGAGTCTCAGTGCATTGTAAGTGGATGAGCGCATCATCCACAACGGGAGTTAAACATTCAGACAGTTCACTTGCATTTTCGTCCTTAATGTTACGTTTACTTTGTGTATATATTATATAAAATGGGCTTCAATGTATTGGTGTCTTCAACTTCACCTCATGCTGATATTCGTTTTAGGTGTCTTATTTTCAACTATTTATCGCATATCGCAGCAGCTCTAATATGTGTTTTTAATTTTTTTCAAAAACAGGTACTACAACAGATGGATATTAAAGAATATTAATATAAAATATAGAAAATCCACAATGACTGTTGTGATACTATTCTTGAAACTCGTTTTTTGTATGTTTTGTAATTTAACCCACTATATAACCCATAAGTATCTGTCTATGTGAGTGAAATTAATGCACAGATCCCTAGCGCTTAAATGTAGCGTTTTTCTTTGTTGTGAGTAGACCCTGATAGACCCCGACCCTCAAATCCATATTTATTAAAACGTAACATGTTTACAGCTTCTGTTAGCTATATTAAGCTTTACAAACCAAGCTCTTTTGAATTATGCAAATGAGCCTTTCTGTGGTATCATCCCCAATTAGAGGAAGCTCTTTACATGCTTTTAAAATGTACATCATTTGACACTCAGCAATTATGGGCCAATCTTACATCCTTTTTAAGAAAAATTACTAAGAAAATAGAAGGGTGTTTTTTTGTCCCTGTGCAACTTTAGAAAGTAATGTCTCTTAAAACACTCTAATCACATTCACACTCTCATGGATTCATTTTAATAAATATTTTAAGTCACAATTGTTTGTTGCAGTGGAAATGATTCCACGAATATTGTGTACAGATTTATATATACTTATTTATTTTTGAAAATGTATTACATTTTGTGATGGCAAATAAAAGCATGGTAAAAAAAAGTCTGTCATTTTAGAAAAATAATTGAATCTGTATAAAACATCAGTGTAGAAACAGCCATACTTTTAATTTAGACATTTATTCTCTATTAAATAAATAATACATTTAAATATAGTCTCTGTTGAAGATTTGAGATCAACATCAACATCATCATAGCGCTGAAACAGCCCTAATTAAAGCTGTTAATGATCTGAGATGTACAGAATGGACTGGCCTCTCAGGCACACAGGATATAATTGGTTTAGATCTTATCGGCCCATCAGAAAGTTCTTTGATACCCCATAAGAGCTCTGACTAATTAAAACGATATACCATGTAAAGTCCCTCAAGCAATGTTCAGCATTTGTGCAACATTTAACTATGAAAAAGAGGCATAAAAGCCATCAAGATAACCCCTCATTTGTATCTCACTAGCAGAGTTCATTGTAAGACTGGAACAATACATCGGAGATGCACTGCGATTTGTGAAGCGATTCCAATTTTTTTTCGAGTGCAGCGCAAAACGATTTTGAGCTTAGTTTTTTATCAGCAGATGGCGCTCTAGGCTTGTTTTTAACCGCACGCTCAAATGCTCACGAATAAGAGCGATCGTGCATTCGGCTGAGTCTGAGATTCTACTTGCTCCTCAGAATGCTTTTATGACTTGAGATTAATGTAAACAGCCCACTGCAAACACCCTTGTAATTCGCTTCAACCTTTTCGAACTTAATGAATGATTATTTTATAGAAGGTTCGAGTGGTGGTGTGTATAGGAAGCCAGCAGATTATGCTGTTTCTAGAGCCCGCAGTGCCATCTGCTGTTAAAGGGGCACTATGCAGGAATCCCGTTTTTGTCAAACAGCGACCCCTAGAGTTGCTGTGGAGTACTTGAATTTAACGTTACTGTTGTAAATACCACTCACTCAGACCGTGACATGGCGTATTACATAGTATACAATAGTACATTGTGTTTAAAGACGCTTACCATTCTACTCGAAAGAAGTAATATAACCATTTCAAAAACTCTGAAGCTGTTTAGTTAAGCTAAAAAAGCTAAATTGTGTCCCTTTAAAAAACTAAGCTCAGAATGCATTCGATGCATTAGTAAAAAATTGGAATCGATTCAGAATCATTTCTCGATTCACGATGCTTTGATTTATTGTCCCAGCCCTAACTGTAAAGCAAGTATCATGTCTATTAATGGGTAAAGCTACAGTAACGTCTTCAGCTAGTCAGTTTAAGATCCTTTCCATCTAAACTGGTTATATATCTTAAGACTAGTAGTGAATGTTTTATGTCCAGTTGGATAACCATATTAATCTGCGCACAAACACAACCAAAACAATGTTCTTCCACAAAACACATGCAGTTTGTTTTTTAACCACCAGAGTGTCAAAAGTTACATAGTGCGCCTTTAATGTATAGAAATGACGTGTGAGATCTCAGACGGCTGGATCAGTAGGTTCCTTAGTCTTTAAGTCGTAGCAAATGTTTATAATGTGGGTTAAATGATACGAATATTCTTATGTACCTGTTTTTTTTTTTTTTTTATTCAATTCTCCATTCTGCAGAGAACTAAATTAGATTCATATCCAGAACCCAATAACTCATTTTAATACTGTTTTTTTTTTCCTCCAGCAAAGGACATTTCTACATTTAATATTAGAGAAACCTTGAACATGGTAGGGTAAAAAAAAAAAATTTTTTGAAGTAAAAAGAAAATCTAATAGGGAACTGAACTATGATTCATGCCGTTATTCAAAGAGTTTATTCAAGTACTTCCTGTGAAATTCAGTAGATGAGATGATCCAGAATGTCTTGTGTTTTCAACCTTTGCTAGGTTAAGAACAAGGTACATCCCTTGACATTTTTTAGCGTCTCTTTCATGCTATTGAATTACAGAGATGTTGTATTTCCCCCATGCTGGAAATGTAATGCTCCCGCTGCGGGTTATTCACTGCTCACATGAGGTTTTGAGGTTCTGTAACGTCCATGTGTTGGAAACATGAGTGATAATCTTTATGCAACACTTGCTGCTAACAGCCGAAGAGGTTATATTCTACACTTTTGTATCCATTTGTTCTTGTAATAGGTCTTATTCACTAAAAACCAACAAGATTTTCCTAAGGGGTTTTATAATGGGTTATAATGAGTAAAATTAAACCTGTGGTAAACACAACTTGACAATATTTAGTCTTTTTGTGAAACAGCAGGTATTGCTCCATATCAAACAGTGGAATGCTATACATTTTGTCACAATTTTATTATTCACATGACTTCATATGTGTGTTGAAGTCAAATATATTGAATTACCGAGACATGTGAACAATCAAGGTTGATATATGTAGCTTCCTGTTCATTCACCATGCTAGAAATACCAGGTTGAGAGCATTGCATTGTGGGATACAGTATTTTATACACTGTGTTTCCATACTGTACATAGTAGATATTGCATCAATTGTACACATGACTATTCTCGAATGACCTGTTAATGCAAAATTATTTCAGTAAATGTTCTGTGAGCTTTCCACTGCCAACATCAGAAAATGTCTACAGTTTTCTGCAAATTAGTTTAGAAGCTAACGCTAGCAAATTATCTTTAGCTTGATTGCGTAATGCTTTCTAATGGTTCGGATAACAGCATTAGCGTGTTGATATTTTCTTAGGTGTCTTATAACTCAATCAGATTGTTTTCTAATGTTGCGTTAGACCAAATCCTCACTGCATTTATGCAGCGTTTTGATCCCAGTTGGTATTCTATTACACTGTCCGGTAACTCAGCTCAGTGAATACATTTACACGTAACCATCTATATCCGTCACTGCATCTTTTGTCGTAATAGCCTGTCGTGGTTTGGCGTTCCCAAAGTGTTAGTGCACAGAGTGTTGGTGACTTTGTAATTCGAGTCCTGGCATGAGGTGACTCACGGTATCATCAGCTGCACTCCAGGAGTCTGGCAAAACCTCGCTGTCTCCTGCAGAAACTCCTGCCAAGTACCTGCCGTGGATTCGATTTTCTCAGCCCTGCTGAGAAGCTGAAAATATGTGAGCGTGTACAGATGTTTCTATCAGCACTGCTCTGTCAAACCGAGTGGCTTTATACACAAACCCGCATTTAATTGCCATTTAGCACACGCTTTCCTTCTAAAGCAACTTGCTCTATAATTGAAAGGACCGTTTGTTTAGCCTAGATCTTTGCAGTCAGCATGAAAACAAAATTGACCATATTTGCTTTCTTAAAGGGAAAGCACACCCAAAAATGAGCCTCAAGTGGTTCCAGACCCTATATGAGTTTTTCTTCTGTTGAACTTTTAAAGAATGTTGGTAACCAGACCGTTGACGGTAGCCATTGACTTCCATATTCATCAGTGTTGTAGTACTCGAGACTCGGACTCGTCTCGGACTCGGTCTCGAGACCATATTTTAATGGTCTTGGTCTTGTCATGGACTCTTGTCATTTGGACTCGGAATTGACTCGTACTCGGACATTTTTTTTTTAGGACTCGGAA